TATACATGCGCATCTGCGCGTGGTATTTTGTGGAAGAGCCACACTCAAGGAGCCAAAGAGCCGCATGTGGCTCACGAGCCACTGTTTGCCAACCACTAGAACATGGCAGAGCTAGGAGTTGAACCCAGACCTATTTAATGTCAAAACCTTGATTTTTATCAATTGGCCTCAATAAAAGTAAAGAAATATTATTAAAATGATAGCTAACTTTCAACTTGTTCATCTCATATAATTAAATGGCTTGATTCAATGTTTGCCTCGTTAACAGTGTGGCACTTCTCAAGAGACATTAAATAAGATGACTTTCCCATACCTACCCTATTCCTGTGCTTCTACTTCTCTAGAGATTTTATCATCTTTGGCTATTCAGAACATCTGGTATAGTTCAACGACTATCACAATGAAAAATAAAAATAAAAAGCTTTCTTCTTCTCCTTGGTTTTTAACTGAAAATAGAATAATACAATATTACTCTGGGTTAAAGAAAGCTGTCCACTAACCTATATGCTCACATAAAAGACACTGATGAAGCACAGTTGAGAAATGTTGATAATAGAAGGGAAAGGGTGACATTTTGGAGGCCTTGAAAACAGACCACATAGAAGTCACTTTCTCCAGTGTCCATATGGGCTCTACCAAGAAAGTTTGTGAATTTCAGCTCACCATAATGGTAAGTGATATAGTTTTCACCTTGATGAACTTTAGCTTGTTAGGTTTCTTAGTGATTTTTTACCCATGCTCACCTGTTGTGGCTACAATGGGCCATGTGGGAAAATCAGAGCCCTTTTCGAAAACCAGCTCACCCTCTGTTTTATCATCTAGTATCTTGATGGAAGATGTGGAAGATCTTATCCGCCAGCAGACTTCCAATGATACCATCAGCCCCTGCCAGCAGACTTCCAATAATACCATCAGCCCCTGGGCCTCCTCCTCATACTATGAAAATTATCACCCACTAAATGAAGTAAGCCATCATATTTCTCACCAAAATTACTATTTTCATACCAGCATTTTCACTTCAATTATGGAAAATTACTAAAATATCATAATTAATGGAAAAGGGTAAAAAATATTACAATTAAGTTGATCATATCGTGGTAACTCATCCTTTTGTAGATATTTTCACTGGGAAAATTGCATCATATTTGGTAAACTACCTCTAAGCAGGATTTTGTCCATAACTAAGAGTATCTCTACCTGCTAGGAGTAGTACTGCATGCTAAGGAACTGCAGGGAAAAATAAATAGGGACTTTTTATTGAAACTGCCACACAAAAATTTAACAGTCCACTGTGTTAGTCTGCCATACAAAGTACCACAGCTTGGGTAGTTTAGACCACAGAACGTTATTCTCTCACAGTTCTGGAGGCTAGAAGTCAACAATGAAGGTATCAGTAGGGTGAGCTTCTCCTGATGATCTCTCCTTGACTTGCAGATTGCTGCCTTCTCGCTATGTCCTTACCTGCCCTTTTCTCTGTATTACACATCCCTGGTGCCTCTATATGTCTCAATCTTTACTTCTTATAAGGACACCAGTTAGAATGGATTAGGACCCACACTAACAGCCTCATTTTAACTTAAGTACCTCTTTAAAGGCCCTATCTCCAAATCTAGTCACATTCTAAGATACTAGACGTTATGGGCTTCAACATATGAATTTGGGAGGTACACAATTTAATAATGACATTCCAGAAAATGCCTTGGAACTCTCCTCCCTTCCTCTCTTCCTTCCTAGAAGGTTCATAGGAACCACAGTAATCTTGCTCTTAGAAAATTCCCTCAAATCCTCCTTCCCCTTCAGCACTGATCTCTTTTTCAGTCCTCACCACAAGGTGGGCAGGAGGTATTCTTTTGTCATTGACTCTCACTTAGAAAACTTAAGTAATCCACTGTGGGGAGAAAAACAAATACCCCCCCAAAAATACTTTTTAAAACAAATAGCAAAAGAAGATAGTTATTCAAAGGATGTTATCTTCATTACCTCAATTAGATTGTGAAATAAAGAGTCTTCTATAAAACTACCTTCATATAATACAGCCTCCCCTGTTGATGGAATTCTACTGAACCATCACTGGAACACAAAATAGTTGTATGTAGTTGTTCTTTCAGATGTAGTCATTCCTTAGAAGAATAGCACGGTAAACAGAGGCCCACTGCGGAAATCCCTGACGGCTAAATCTCCAGCCCCTCGGACATTGACAGCACTGGTGTTTGGCAGCAGGTAGATTTCCCAGAAGCATCTTTGGACACTAGCCTAAAGTGAGGCCTGGAATTCTTTATTTGTCCTTCCACTACAATCTTGATGGAATCACAAGTACCACTGGACTGTCAACTAGGAGACAGGCCCAGAATCAAATGCCTTCTCAGGGTAGAAGAGAACTGTTTTCCCCTCCAGATTGTACACCTTTGCCTCTTATCATCTCACAGATCTTCTTGTGAATTCACAGGTTTCTAGTGGGAAATAAGGTCCCTATCATTTATCCTGTGCAAAGACAGTGCCCAGGCCTTCCTTAGGTTACTCTTAAAAAGTGAAAAAAATTTTTTAAAAAAATTCAAATAAAAGTGAACTTGTGAATGAACGGTAAAGAGGATTTCATACACAGAGCCTTTAAAAATAACTCTTAGGAGACATACTTTAAAGATGAATTTTTCCTACTTTGTCATATGGTTTTCAGTACTTTTCTACTCTTTCTCTAAACCTTGATAATTTTCAAAACTTTACTTTTATTGAATTTTCCTAAACAACAGAAGAAACACCTGCCCCAAGTATTTTAGTTCCTCATTCTTTCTACCTACACAGGTTTTAGAGAGCTCTCCTTCCCTTGAAGATGCTGTGTGCTTCCTTTGGTCAGGGAAATGCTTCAAACTTACTCTATGACTGCTTATGTCCATTTTGATAGATCTATTCTTGGATGGATGTTATAACTGAGCAGTACCCTGATATGATTGAAAAAATCCACATTGGATCCTCATATGAGAAGCGTCCGCTTTACGTTTTAAAGGTATGTCATGGGGGAGAGTCATTGATCTGTCAACTCCAGGGGATGTGTTAATTCTCCAGTGGCACTTGTTATAATTTGGATTTTTTTTTCTTTGAGTTCTGTAAATATTTGTATTACAACTGTTCCTCCACTTTAATACTCAGCTACTTAGGGTTAATTTTTTTTTTTTGGCTTTACTAATGCAGTGCTGGTCTATGAGTGGAAACCCCAATTTTAGAATTAACTCTGTCTCTTTTATGTGATAGATAAATTCCCTGAACTTCAAGACCTACTGTCATAAAATAAAGGGTGAGAGGTGTGGTCTGGATTATTTTTCATGTCCTTGTTTTATTTATACCACCACCACCTCTGACTGCCTTACGTAGGAAGAAGAAAAGAGAGAGATGATCTGTTATTGGACAAACACTGACACTGACACAGTTTTTGGAACAAAACAAAACAAACAAAAGCTGAACAACCAAACCGAGGGAAGGATAAGAACCAGGGAAATGCTCTGGTCCTGACAATAGGGTTGATATGATAGCTTCTGTTCCAATCACAGTTCATTTGGTTATTCATTTTCAGTTGAATAAATTGGCCTTAGTAAAGGTGAGTAAATGTGGCCAAAGAAGAATTTGAGGGAGACATAAAAACATACTAATTCTTTCTTGATAATTTATAATGATGTACTTCTGTTTTGTACCACTTTCCCCACCCTAAATACATCCTATATAATAAAAGGGTAATATGCAAATTAATCCTAACAGCAGAGTGACTGGGAATGACTGGTCACTATGACACACACTGACCACCAGGAGGCAGACGGTCAATGCAGGAGCTTCCCCCTGGTGGTCAGTGTGCTCCCACAGGGGAAGCTATGCTCAGCCACAAGCCAGGCTGACGACCGCCAGTACAGCGGTGGTGGTGGGATCCTCTCCCGCCTCCTCATCAGCGCTAAGGATGTCCGACTGCAGCTAGGCCTGCTCCCCGCTGACAAGTGGATATCCCCCAAGGGCTCCCAGGCTGCCAGAGGGATGTCTGACTGCCAGCTTAGGCCCAATTCCCCAGGGAGTGGGCCTAATCCAGCAGGTGGACATCCCCCGAGTGGTCCCAGACTGCGAGAGGGCACAGGCTGGCCTGAGGGACCCTCTCGAGTGCAAAAGTTTTTGTGCACCCGTCCTCTA